CCTCTGAGGCAGGAGGCTGAGGCAGAGAGGAGGCTGGTTAGCCATGGGCCTGCCTTGCTGACCAGGAGTTGCTGTGTCTTCGTGAACCCCTTGCTGGCGAGGGCACCTGGGGGCACGGCCTTGTTTTGCAGAGAGCCCCTGACCAGCCCTTCCAAGGCCTGGGCTCACTGAGGAGACAGCTGCCGGGCAAGACAAGCCCCATGGCTGGTGGAATGATGCACCGGCTCAGGGAGGGGGCACACCACGGCACCCTGCTCTCCTCACACACCCCACGCTGGTGTCCCTCTGTCCACAGGCCTTTCTCACAGCTTCTGTCAGTCTGCCCGGTTTGCAGTTGTGGAGTGGAGGGAAGATTTTGAGCCTGAGAGAGTTGCTTTGTGTGGGGGGCATGTCCACAGCCAGTGATGGGCACCAGAGCTGAGCCCAGGCATCTCCCTCCGCCCTCCTGCCCGTTCCCCACTCTGAGCTGCCCAGGCCACGACCTGCATCAGCCTGTGATGCCAGTGGGACATGTCCTTCTTGTCATTCAGTATCCTCATCTGTAGAACGAGTGGCGTTCCTCTAGGCCTGAGTGTAGGCTTCTCGGCTGCTTTGATGGAGCAATAGTGGCAGTAATAGCCCGGACCCGTGAGAACACACCTTCCGGTGCTCAGCAGCGTGGCGCGCGTGGTGTGGCGAGGCCCGGTGTGTGTAGTGTGGAGAGGTCAAGGACAGCAGCTGGGCGTTCACTGCTTTTTCCATTTTTCTTCTCACAGGAGCGCGAAGCGTGGGTGCTGCCTACTCCACCCCGTCTGCATCTCCCTCACAAACGATCGTCTCAGTTGGACTGCGAGGCCAGAGCGTGTGTGCACAGGGACGAGGGCGCCATGGCCCCCTGTACTGACGAGTTTGATTCTCACAGGACCGCGGTCCCTTCCGGTGCGTGGCTGGCACTCGTCACGCCCCCTGTGGGACGACTCCATTGTGGAGAAGTCCCTCAAGTCCTTAAAGGACAAGAACAAGAAGCTGGAGGAAGGCGGCCCTGTGTACAGTCCCCCCGTGGAGGTGGCCGTGAAGAAGTCCATCGGGCAGAGGGTCCTGGACGAGCTGAAGCACTACTACCACGGCTTCCGCCTGCTGTGGATCGACACCAAGATCGCCGCCCGCATGCTGTGGCGGATCCTGCACGGCCACACCCTGACGCGCAGGGAGCGCAGGCAGGTGAGGGCGCCCCAGAGCTGCTGGTTGTTTCCGTCTTGGAGGAGCCTGTGAGGTGAACTCCCGCTGACACCACCCGGCAGGTGGCATCCTGACCGTCACCGCTGTCTGTTCTGCGCGCTGTGTTTCCTTCCCCCGTTGCTCTGATGCCATCCCGGTGTCACCTGACCCCTCTGAGGACTTGGAGAGCTCTGCTGCCATTTGCTTGCGTTTCTTTGTAGGTGAGACGCCTTCTCAGACGGACTGCCTTTCAGATCTCTGGCCTTATGGCTGTTTGAGCTTGTCTGAGTGAGTGTTTCTATTGAATGTTTGGGATTTGTCCTCTTTGCTGTGAGATTTCGTGTCAGTCTTCAGCTGTCAAAACAGGACTGGACATCAGCTCCCATGATTTCCCGCCAGCCGTAGAGCTCATTGTCATCAGCGCTAGAACGTGACTGCCCGCCAGCTTTGGACAGTTCGGGGCTTTCCTTAGGCAGTGGTCACACGGCTTGCTCTGTCCTCCACATTTTGTCTCTGAAAGTAGTCTTGGTTTCTCTCTCCTTCTCTGTCTCTCGTGACTCACACCTAGGTATTTTCCTTCTGTTTTTTCATCCCTTCTTAGCTGAAGTAATCTGTTTAATTCATCCATTGGGATTTTACTTTCAGTTACTGTATTTCTACCTCCAGAAGTTTGATTTATATCTTAGATTCTTTTAATATTTGACAACTCTTTTATAATGGTTTCCTTTTAATAGTCTGCCTTTCATGTTAGTTTTGATTGTGATGAAAATACCCATTCATTCAGCTTGGTCTTTTTTGGCAGGGTTTTTTTTTTTTTTTGCATTTTAGATTCCACTTTCGTCTTCACCCGTTTTAAATATACTTAGTCTGAATCCAGTGTTTTTCCTGACATTCCTGGGGCCGGATCCTGCTCTTAATTGTGTCTGTTGACTGTTGCTCGTGAGTGAGGTGTGTCCGTGACTGAGGCCTGAGTTCATCCTGAGGGGTTTCATCTGTAGAAACCCTGTAGGTTCAGGTGGGCAGCTAGGTTCCACGGCGCAGATTTTGTGTTTGCTTCCGGGGGTAGTGGGCCCTGCACCCCATGTGGGGAAGGTGCAGCCCCTTAAGGGGACCCAGGCCCCACTCCGGACACAGCCTTGTCTCTTGCACCTGAGCCTTTATGTGACCCTCCCTCCCTCCCTCCGTCTGTCCGTCCCTTCCTCTGTTGTTCCCTTTGAAGGCTGGCCTTTCCTTCGTTGTTTGAGCTCCTGGGTCTTTCCATGACTTACTTACGGGCTCTGCTATTTATTTTCTTCTTTTGTTTTTTCAACTTTTTACTGTGATTTGGGTGAAAGTTTACAGAGCAAATGCTTTCCCCCCAACAGTTCACACACGTTTTGCTTGTGTCACTGATGGGTCCTCACATGTGGTCGCTCCTCCCCCTTCCTCCCGGTTCCTGTTGCCATTGGTCCTCCCTCTGGCCCCTCCCGCCTTCTGACCTCTGTCTGTGGGCACACAACTCTGTCCGTGGGCACACACTGCCCTGTGGTCTCCAGTGGGGGGTGGTTCTGAGGAGTGTGTGCCTTCCCACAGTTGCTGCTCAGCTTGGAGACTGTTTTATTTATTTGTTTTTAGATAGCCTCTGAGCTCTGGGACAATTTTAGATTCACAGAGAAGTTGGAAACGTAGTTCCTGTAGCCCCCACCCAGTTCCTGGTTCCCTGGTGTGCCCTCTTACAGCACACGCTACCTCATCACAGCTGCCCAGACTTTGTTGGGTTTCTCATTTCCCACAATGCCCTTTCTCGGGCTCAGGACCCCACCCAGGTCACCGGGTCATCTCCTTAACAGTCTTCCCCGGTCTGTCATGACTGTGACACCTTTGGGGAGGACGGCCCGGTGTCCTCAGGAACGTCTCTGGTCTCCAGGCTGTGTGTATCAGATGGGTGAAGAAGCCCACAGAGGCATCGGCCCCTCCGCACCTCTTGTAGGGCAGAGATGGGGAAGTGGGTGGGGTTCACTGCAGACTTCCTGGATCGCCTTGGGTTGTCCGGGAGGGAGCTGCCCAGTGTGCTAAGGGTTTCTTTCTTCATTCTTGCCTGTTCTTTTCTTTCTTGGTTAGTTGCAGGACCTAGCGACAGCTTTCAACCCTCAGTGTCCCCACGCAGGCCCCAGGGCCTCCAGAGCAATGGGCACGATGCCCCTTCCCTGCGTGTGGTTGTCGCGCTCCCACATGGGGGCTGAGAGTGACTGTCCGAGGCATGCCTTGAGGAGAAAGCGAGAACTTGATCTGCATGGTCTCGGGAACTGCGGTGATGGCTGACAGCAACAGCCTCTGATCTCACGCTCTGTTCCCCAGAACTGCTGAGCAGGGGTTGGTTCATTGATTTGTTTGTCCAAGGAATTCTGTTCTGGATGGGGGCGTGTTGACAGTTGGAGGAGGCCAGTGCTGCAGGAGGAGTGAGTTTCAGAGTCATGCCGAGTGTATTTGGTGGCCACCGATTTTAACACAGATGGGAGCTGCAGTTATGCCTGTTATGGCCTTATGATCTGGGGCTCCTGCTGCCGCTCCCCACCACCGTCCTCTCGGGTCTGGATTAGGTTTGGTTTTGCTTTTTTGGTGGTGGTGCGCCTAACATCCAGTTCATGTGCTTAAAGTGTACAGCTCAGCCTTTAGTACACGCACAGGGCTGGGCCGTGCTGCCCGCAGTCAGGTTTAGAACATCTCCATCACTCCTATAAGAAATCCCATGCCCGTGAGCACGTTCCCCGTGTCTTCTCCACCCTGCCACCCCAGCCCTAGTGAGTGGTCTTTGTTTTTGTAACTTCATTGACGAGGGTGAGCCTTTAAGGGGAAAAAAATAAGTGAGTGGAGGCGGCCAGAGCCGTGGTCCCTCTTGGTGTGGGAACTGCTGGGTTGTTTGGATTTGAAGAAAATGTTATCAGCCCTGATAATTATAGAAAAAGTGACTCTTTTTGTAAAGTCAGTCAAATTTGCACAGATCGGTTTACGTGGAGGACACTTGAAATTTTCTGAATTGGAATTTAAGTAGCTTTGGGTGCTTGCTGCTGCTGGCGGCCACCGAGTCAGTGCCGACCCACGGTGCCCCCGTGTGTGCACAGAGCAGAGCTGCTCCCTGGGGTTTTTCAGGCGGGGACCTTTCAGACAGGTGGTCAGACGGTCTCCTGAGGCATGTCTGGGTGGGTTCAAGCTGCTGACCTTTCGGCTGTAGTCGAGTGCTTAACTGGATTCTTGCTAATCACGGTCCCTAGAGAAAGACAGAGCTGCCTACAGGGGTGAGTGTGTGGTGGCGGTGTGTAGGAGGCCGTTTCCTGCTGACCTGGACCTGCACACTTCAGGGGAGGGCTGTTTCTGTGTCGTAAATGCTTGGCTCAGGACAGTGGTGGCCAGAGAAGTCATCAAGGGCCAGTGGACAGACCAAACAGGAGTGCTGTGTGTTAAGGTCGCAGACTGCTCAGACCTGTGCTGACAAGCATGTGATGTGATTGTGTGGGGCAGGAGGGGGCGGCAGCCTGAACTCTTGCCTGAGGAGACGGCCCTGGGGCTCCCATTTTCCTTCCAAGGAGCACATGCCTCTCCTTGGGTTTCCGGCTGCACTGTGTCCAGTGCCCTGAACGTGAGGGCGAGGCCCCTGGGTCGGCGGGGCTCTGGGTACGGGCAGAGGAGCTCCGGGCAGAGGAGCTCCGGGCTCGCCAGCCTCACTTTGTGAGCGTCCAGGCTCGAGGCGCTCCCCTTTCCAGAGCCTCCTATCCCTGCTCAGTTCCCTCTGCGTCTCTCCCCTCCTTTTCCATTGGAGCAAGCTTCCTGAGCCAGAGTGGTGTGTTTGCTGAAGGCACAGCTCACTCCAGGCGCCTGGCCTCTCGGCATCACACGTTAACCGTCCGCCAGTGCCAGACGTGTTGTCAGAGTGCCGCATGGTTGTCTGGGGGTAGTCGTGAATTCAAGCAGCCCTGGTGGCACAGCGGGTACAGCGCCTGGCTGTGAACTGAACGGTCAGCGGTTTGAACCCACCAGCCACAGGGGAAGTAAAGACGACAGCCTGGGAAACCCCACAGGCAGTTCCGCTCTGTCCTCTGGGGGCGCTGTGAGTGGGAGTCGACCCTGGTGGTGGGTTAGCGCTGTAGGAGGATTTAGCTTCTGCTCTGCCAGTTTGCTCTCTCAACCCCTCCCGATACCCAGGGGCTCCCTTCAGTTCTGGGGCAGGGCCGAGAAGCACCGGCACCCCAGAAACAAGAGCACACCCACCCTTGCCGGACCTCGGCTTCTAATGCCATTCCCCATGGGAAGAGGCCAGAGCCCCTTGGAGACGTGGCTGATTGCAGGGCTGGGCAGGGGTGGCTCTGGGTCCTCCTTCTGGGCCAGGAGATAAGAAGACTGGGGCCGGGGGGTGCTCTTGCTGTGGCCGGGGGGAGCGGAACAGGCTTTTCTGCGCCTCGGTGGTAGGACGTGCTTTCGTGGACTCAGGATACATGTCTGCTTTTGGTGGCAGTACACAAGCAGACGTCCGTGCCTTCACTCTGCTCCTGAGCAGGTCAGCGGCCTGCTTGGGCCCCACCCTCTCTGCTCGTCCTCTCATCCTCCTTAGTCTGGGTGGTCTGCCCCAGCCCACACCTGGGCCTTAGATCACCTCTTGTCAGTGTACTCCCTTCAGGTAATTCTCTGTAAGCGAGCACTGTGCTTGTCAAAGGCTCTTTATTAATCGGGCCAAGTGGGCTGAACAATTGTTTATATATGATCGCTTCATGGGACAATTTTGGTTCAATGTTAAAAGATTATTTCTGGCCGTTAGATGTGGGGCTGCCCTCAGTCTCAGTGGATGCTTTCGTATTTGTTGTTATTATAAATGATACTTTAAAATTTTAATTTCCTTTAGTCATTGTTGTAAAAAAAAAAAAAAGACTAGCTGCCGTTGAGTCAGACCCGACTCATAGTAACCCCTCCTTGGGTTTCTGAGGCAGTATCACCATGGAAGTAGATTGCCCAACCTTCCTTCCAAGGAGTAGCTGGTGGGTTTGAACCGCCAGCCTTCTGGTTAGCAGTCAACTGCCTTAGGCCTTCTGCCCCCAGAGCTCCTCCCTTACTCATTGCTAGTGTTTAGCAATAGGAGCACCGTTTACGTGAGCATCTTGTGCCTGCACTCGTAAGTGCACTGGTTGTCTGTTGTAGTAGCTGCCCGTAGGCTCCATTGGGATCTTCGTCAGGAACAGATTGGGATCTGTCTGATGCTTTCTTCTGCATCTGTTGAGATGGTCTTGTTTTTTCTTTTTCATTTGTTAAGTAGATGGTTAGATCAACAGATTGAGTGAAAAGGGGGCCCTAACTCTGCGCTGCCAGAGGAAACACACCTGAAGTAGAAAGGCACAGGTGGGGCGAAAGTGAAGGGGTGCACACAGGCATGCCGCTGAGCCTCGGCAGAGGCGAGCTGGGGCCGCTGCGTTAGTACCAGGCGGTACCAGGGGTGAGGAGGACCGTTTCATAATGATCCAGGCATCAGTTCATCAGGAAGATCAAACAGTGCAAACCCCCTGTGCGCCTGCTAGCCACAGCCACATGCTGGTTCCGTGTGGCTCCATTGATGAGAAATGCCCAGAAAAAGTACATTTATAGAAATGGAAATCAGTCAGTGTTTGTCTAGGGCTGGGCCGGGCACGGAGACTGGCAGTGATGGCACATGGTGGAACTTCCCAGGGTGATGGAAATGTTCTGAAACTGGATTCTAGCAATGACTTCACAGTCTATACGTTTATGTAAAATCATTGAATTGTGCACACTCACCAACAGGTCAGTATTACAGCATGTAAGTTACACCTCGGAAAACTGCTGAAAAACCAGGCGTGCTCGCAGAGCCAGCAGCTACCGCGAGTGGTCTCATGGCCACGCCTGGGTCATTGGAGCAGTGACGTTAGAACTCGTTTTAAAACTGTGAGACTCCAGGAGTCCATTTTGATAATTAAATGAAAAATAAATGTGCAAGGAGGCAGGGTTCTTTCAACCTCGGTGGGGAAACGTGGATATTAGTGCTTGAGTTGAAAATCACTGTTTTGTGACCAACAAAGTAAAGACTCATTTGGGTAGGAGTCTTCCTGAAAGCTCCATCTGGGGTGAAAAGTGTGATTAAAATATGGGTATGTGCATGGTCTTCAAGCTCGGTCAGTGGTGGTTCTGAGGTAGAGCGTTGGCCTGCCCTGAGGGAGACGGGGGGTCAGTTCCTGGCCAGTGCACCGCCATGCAGCCTCCCCCTGCGTGTCACTGGGGCCTGTGTGTGGTTTTGATGCGGAGCAGGTGTCAGACTAAGAGACTGAGGAGGAAGGCCTGGCAGTCTCCTTCTGAAAAGGTTGAAACCCTGGAGGCCACAGTAGTCTGATACCGTGGTGCACGGAGTTGTCACGAGTGGGGCCTGCTTGATGCCAGCTGACGTTCTTGGTTTCTAGGAGCCTAGAGGGTTTTGTGGGTAAGAGGTAGTCCTCCAGGTACCATGGATGAAGGACAGGCAGTGCTGCCTGGGGGCTCGCTGAACTGTTCACGGCCCTCAGGGAACGGTGCTTTCTTCACAGTCCATGTTTCTGTAACGGCGTCACTTTACTGACATCGATGAAGCTCCCTGTAGTTTAGCTCTGCATTACAGACTTAAATGTGGCCGCCTGAGGCTTACAGAAGGCGCGTGTGGCCAGCACTGTCCTCTTCAGGCTGCCCCGGTCCCTCTGGAGCACTGGCTGGGGTTGAACTGAGTAACTGGTGCATGAGGCCCACCCGCCAGCCCGCTGCTGACACAGAGCTCTTCACTCCTGTCCACTAACAGGCTCTCGCTCCTTCCCCAGTTCCTCCGGATATGTGCTGATCTCTTCCGCCTCGTCCCGTTCCTGGTCTTCGTGGTGGTGCCCTTCATGGAGTTCCTGCTTCCTGTGGCCGTGAAGCTCTTCCCGAACATGCTGCCGTCCACGTTTGAGACCCAGTCAGTCAAGGTGACAGGGCTGTCGGTGGAACGAGCTCACGTTGGGATGGGTTTGCTTCCAGTAGCATTTTGTTTATGGCCGGATCTTGGTGTTAGATACTTTGGGGGCTTTATGTTCTCATAACCCGCCCCTCCTGCCATGCTGGGGTTGAAACGGGGGTGCGGCTTCTGATTTGTTTCTCTGATGTGTTTTCAGATACGGGTCTCTGGACCACTGTGTTTCAAACCACAGGTTGGGGCCCATTAAGGGGATTTGTGATCAGCCCCCAGTCAGTTTTTGTCTGGGTCCTATGGGACACAGCCACACCCTTTTGTGCTGCAACAGCCAAGTTGGCCCTTCGTGGAAAACATTTACCCACACACGGCCTATGTATTTTTAAAAATTTATTTTACTTTTGTTGAAAATGTATACCGCAAGCATACACCAATTCAACAGTTTCTCCATGTACAGTTCAGTGACGTTGATGACATTCTTCAAGTTGTTTAACCGTTCTCATCCTTCTTTCTGAGTTGTTCCTCCCATGTTAATGTAAGCTTAACCCCCTAAGGTTCCTATTTAATCTTCCTAGTTGCTGTTGTCAATTTGATCCCATATAAGTAGTTCTTAACACAGCATAATTCTCAAGACAGACGTTTTTTACTAGTTGGACTACTGTTGGGTTTTAAGAAAACATCAGGGAATATTTTTGGTTTGAAGTTTAAAGAACAATACTTTCAGGAATTCTTCCAGCCTCTAAAGATCCATAAAGTCTGGATTCTGTGAGAATTTGAAAATTTTGTTCTGCATTTCCCTCCCCCCCCCCCCCCCCTTTGATCAGAAGTCTTCTATAGACTCTCTGTTTAGTATGTTCAGTAATGGTAGCCAAGCACCATCTGGTTCTCCTGGTCTCAGGCAAAGTAGTTGCAAGCATTTTTTGAACCATGAATAGAAGAGCATTTCAGAACGCATGGCTCCTAGATGAGAACGAGCCTGGCTCTGCTGTGTTTGTCTACCCATGTGTGTCATTGGGTGCTGCACTGAGATGTGAAACGTATCTCTTACTGTGGGTGCAGGAAAAAAAGGATCGAAACCTGTTGCTCTAACCCGCGATGCCCACTGAGATCTGATGACTCAGCATGGTGGCTTGGGTGGCCTGAGGATGGGCATAGGGCAGGGGACACTGGGCAGCGGCCTTGGTGTGGTGGAGCAGGGAGGCCAGCTGGGAGGGGCGTGGGGATCTCTGGGGAGTGCAGCGCCCCTTTCTCTGACCTTGCAGGAGGAGAAGATGAAGAAGGAGCTGCGAGTCAAGCTTGAGCTGGCCAAGTTTCTCCAGGACACCATTGAAGAGATGGCTTTGAAAAACAAGGCGGCCAAGGGAAGCGCCACCAAAGACTTCTCAGCCTTCTTCCAGAAGGTGCCTGTGGTGATGCTTCTGCACCCGCAGCCTCCGCTCCCTCGGGCAGAGGGCTGCCCAGAGCCTGTAGGCGCCGTGAGCTTTGTCTGGGGCAAGCGTGTCTCCCCCTGTGCCTTCTTGCTGGGCTCAACAGAGGGCGGAGGCCCCAGGCAGCAGTTCACTGGTCCTGTGGGGTGGTCACTGGGAGGCCTGACATGACGCTGTGAGCTGTGGGAAGCCTCCCTGAGCGCCTGTGCTTATGAGCACCCGAGTCTCGTCCACACTGAGAGAACTGCCAGGTGGCCTTCCCTCTTCCTCTGGGGCAGAAAAGTGGGCACCAACCAGGGCCAGGCCAGGGGTCTGAGATGGCTGCTGCCCCTCTGGAGTTGCAGAGGGGATAATGTGGGTTCAGGCCCCCAAGCAGTGGGGTCCCCTGGCGTGAGGGTCCCAGGATGCTACTCCACTGCCACTTCTGGGTGGCGAGAGGACAGCAGAGCCTCTCCCAGTGATAGGAGGTACCAGGGCCCTTCCCCGATAGGCACCTTTGGCCTCTCCTGGCATAGGAGGGAGCGGAACACAGGCAGGAAAGGCATCCAGGGCCCAGGTGGGTGTGTGCGCACCAGAGCCCAGGTGTGCCCCTCGCAGATGGCCCAGCCCGTGTCCTGCTGCTGACGTCCATCCTGCCCTATTGCAGCCCCCCAGACCAGGGCACCTGCCCCGTGGTAGAGGTGTGGTCAGAGTCTCCACTGGGAGGGTGGTTTCCTAGCAGGAGTGGGGTTGAAGGGCAGATTTTAGATTGGGTGGGCTTGGGTGATTCGGGATGAGCTTGTTAAGGGCAGTAGGGGTGGCTGGCTCACTTCAACCCGAGCTCTTGTCCAGGTCACTTTAGGCTTTTGCCCTGAGGCCATGGCAAAGGGTGCTGGGAAAATAATA